CTATTAGAAACCTATCCGAAGCGGCGTTTGGAGGCCATTTTAGTAAGGAAGCAAAACCCGCTTTCACTTCATTCAGGTAATTTCTTTCTGATTAGGCAACTATTTCGGGTGCACTGAGCGGAATCTGTACAAGAGATGATATTCAAGAGAGTTCCGGACAGTTCCAAGACCGAACCACAGCTGAAGTTGAATAAATATCCATCCGTTGACACGTCTCACTTAGCAAATAGCTAGTTGTTGCAATGGTGGTCTACAAGATAAATGGGAAACCTCCTTCCGATTCTCAAAAGCGGTGTACAGTTTGTAAGTAACCACCGTTGACGGAACAACTCTGCCGTCAAACAAAATCAGAGATTCTAGCCCGTTGAGTTGGGCACATTAGGGAGCATTCTCCACCACTTACCTCAAAAACTGCAATGGGTGAAATTCCAGTCAACGCGTGTGCGGCAAGCAACAGATGACGATGCGTTTAAGTGGCCACTGCATCAGACTTTACTCTTGACTTACGTCGCTGCGACGTATAGCCGACCTTTAGCGATCTTTCACGGCCATTACCAGACTAATAGGTACAACAGCATACGAAGTACGTCGACTGAGAGGGTTAACAACTGTCTATGCATTCCGTGTGCCAGTAATGGTTTTTGATGCAGTTTCTATAGCAAACTTTACGGAAATTAAATTTGAGTATGTGTCGTCTGGTCGAAGCAGCATTAAGAATTCGTATGTGTGATATGAAAGCTAGGCTTATTTTCTGGTCAGTCAAAAAGTACGTGCCCAGCCATCAGAACTTATTTGAGGAGAAAAAAATGAATTGATGCTACGTAAGCCTATACCAGAAATCCTACGCACGCCTACAATTACACTCTCCAGGTATTGGGTAATGATAATCTGACAAGAAGAATTTGTTGAAGACGAGACCTGTACCTTGTACCGAACAGGTTCAATTCCGAAGCAGAGACTGTAGGGCACGAGTAAGACCGAACAAAATATCTGGCCAATCACTCAATACAATATCATTAGTTTCGACTCGATAGTTCGATTGGAGCACGGCAACCGATGCTGTGCAAATTTTTCTCGCAGTAATTCACTTACGGCAGAAGTCTTTCGATCTACTGGAACTAATCCTAGTATGCTGTACGCTTTTAGATGGGGAATATAACTCGTAGGTAACACGTATGACAAACAAAAAGATGAAAGAAATCGAAAATACACGAACCTCATCCGACTTCCGTTTTTTACTTTCGCCAGTGTAGGCCTCGATTTCCCCGGCATGGTACAGTTGGCGCACGAGGGACAGACAACAAGCGCGAGAGGCCATTACCTTGTTGGAGCCAGTCTCCCGAGCGTATAACTGTTTATTAAGGCGTTTCGCGAAGACAGTCGATTCAGCCAAGAAGCTCCTACAGTCGGTTGGGCATATTGTTATGAGAACAGTTCGTGATTTTGCGGCGAACACTTACGTCAATTATGTGCGTAAGTGAAGTTAAAGTAAATAGCCGAAGCACTTAAGGTTGCTGCAAGCACTACGCAAACATTAAGCCGTCCAAAAACGTTGGTATTGCGTACTTTGATCAATCTGCTAGTACAGAAAACAAACAGTGAACATTTTTTTCTTAACAATTACATATATAAGTCTGCTACGAAGCAAACATTAAGCATGTTATAAATATAAAACATAGGAAAAATCTTACCACTCCGCTCCAAATGGGTCGCGCGGCATTCATAAGCACCGGTGCACATCGTTGTCAAAAGGTGCCACCCGTCAAAACAGCGCTGTGTGTGGGGGATGAAAACCAAAAAGAGGGGAATGATCTACTAGCCTGGTGCTGCCAACTTTATAAAGCCTTTCCGATATTTTTGTCAGAAAAGGCTTCATAGAGTGGCAGCAGGACGCAGGCCGTAGAGCGCATCTGGGAATCGGTGTGATCGCATTGTGCAGCAGCTGTCGATATTATGACAGCATATTGCACAATGCACAAAACCCTGGATTCAGCCACGTGAGCAATGAACACAAGCATAGCTGCAGTAGCTGCAACTTTGCTACCGCAGCCCACAAGTTCTGGTCTAGAGTCATGGCACTTAAAGTTTGAATGGCTCAGGGACCCTGGCCTGCTACAGACTATCAAATATTCTATTCTACATTTTTGCAGTTCTCAGTCTCACACGTAGTATATCTGTCAACACTGACTTTCTGACAAACACATGGAGAAGCATGTACACGTACAGTTATTACTCTTCCATCAGTCAAAAGAGATCACGCATAACGAAAAGATTTACCTGTTATGATCAGGACCCACTGCTGTGTACTTAACCAGTCCGATCTGTTGCTTAGTGGCTTGTAAATATTCATTTAAGCGGGCTTTAGCGTTCTCCAAAGACCATCCACCGTGAATGTCAGCTGTGAAGTCAACCTCTTCTGCCTGTGAACCAATTTTGTTACCGTTAACACGGGATGCATACCTCTTCCAGCTTCTTTTGATCGAATATTCTGTTTATATAATTGTCGCCGGGTCCCATTGCTCGCGGTTCGAACGGTCGTTTCGTGCCGAGTAATGGCATCGATTGTGGAGGCAGATGAACATCTGGCACTGAGGTGTAAGGGGACACCTTGACTTCACTTCCTCCACTGTATTCGCTTGGCTGATGAATTGGTTAGAAGTGGTGGAGAAATTACCAGAACGCATGGAAGCTGGCCCTCGTCTAGCAACTTTTGACGAACTAAATAATTGGCAAAGTCCCGTGCCGCGTTTGTTTGAGCATCTTTTTTATTAGCAGAGTTTCCAACGCCAACATAATCTACACCGTCGACACGCAACTAAACGCGTGAGAGATATTACGTCAACTTGCCTCACAAATAAAACGCAACTTTCCACGACCGACCGAGCGCTGAAGAAACGTATATTCGGGGGTTTTCTTTTGGTTTTTCTGGAGCCACGCGTACAAAAAAGACTTTATTCCTTCTAAATCAGCCATCAGTGGACCTAAAATGGAAAACTTTTGTAACATGAAGGCCATGGGTATAGAAAAATCGGCGTAACAAGCATGCCTGATTGAAGTTCAAAAGCTTGGCACTTTAGTAACCTGCCACCTGTCAAACAATAAAAGCAAGCTCGTTCACACTTGGAATAAAAAGGGAGATTGTTGTGGGATGTGTACATTAAAAGTAGACCCCACAACGGACTACGATGCGGATTTCCAGAGTAAATCGGGGTCAAATTGGCTCTTGACACGCGTTTATCGGACCGCGTTACCCGCACGAGCCCGTAACTATGGGCAAGCAGACGTAGCACGCCTTGGACGCAGACGTTCATATCGTGTCGGTCAATGCACTCAAACCCACCACCATTTGTTAATAGGCTCGGACAGTCAGCGGGTGCACGAGGGGGTAGAGGGTGAATAAGGTCCGTAATGGACAATCTATCTTCACAACATAACAGCACATAGTTATAATAAAACTGATGTAGTTAAATATATCACGATACGCTTACGGCCTTGGCCTGGAAGGCTGTCAACTGACATTTTAACTTGGCATCTATCATTACATAGGGATAAAATGAAATGGCTTCATAATGTGGCCTACATGTCACTTTACTGATGTGGGTACGAAGAAACATTACAAAATTCCACATGTAATAAGTTTAAGGTTGTGTGAGATGCGTTTAAACATGCACTATAACTGTCAGCCACTGCTAAATCAGCTGTGAATGCTGTGAGCTCGCAATGCTACAAAAGATACCCATACACCGCAGTCGGACACCAACAAACCCGAACAAAATTGAGAAAAATTGTCCCTTTAGCCAGCAGACCGAAAAATCCGGGATGCGTCTGAGATTTGGTTTTATGGTGCGCACCAGGGTCTTTAATTGAACGCCTTAACATTATCCCCAACCGGAACCAGGTTCGACAGATATCGCACTCCAACGCAGATAATTTAAAAGCTATCTCATTTGGAATGTGAGCGGTGTACTTTACAGGCTTCTTCAGATATACGATAGACGACTGTTAGAAATGCGGTCAATAATACGAACTCGGAGAACGCAGCTTAGGTATCCTCTGAACTACGATTATTTTATGAGCATATAGGCTATGTGTTGTGTAGTGCTCGTACCGCTCCAGCTTGACCTTCTAACTGAGCCTACGCAGATCCTATATTGTTATCATATAGTCGAGCCTACGTTGACCTCGATCACTTGAAAGATTGGACCTAAGAAAGGAGAAGCGGTCCACGAGAACAAGACCTCAAACATCTATGTGACCAGAAAGGTGACTATAGCAACAGGAACCGAGGTAACCATCAACGGTGAGTCGGGCTTTATATAGAGGCCCAACACGGATGACGAAATCGCGACAATTAATGACTAGGAATCGGACTGCCAAGCCATCACCGCACCAATTACCACCCCCAGTGGTGGTTACGGGAGCTGATAATTATAGTGCGCATGCTTGGCCACTACAAACTCCTGCTTCATCTGTGCATGTATCACCTTATTCTACGGTTACATCTGATGAAGGGTTCTCGACAGCATCCAAAACGTCAGGCGAATAAACTTCTTATTTCGGTGATCACATCTTTGAATT